CCTTCCACTTCTGGGACACATACTCCTCTACATCCTGCCTTTTCATTAGTCCTGAAGGTAGCTTCCCTGTCTCTTTATACCTCTTGTTCACCTTTGTTCCCTATGTATCCCACCTTGTGGTCTTGAAAATTGAAAGCACTGGATGACTCTGCGATTAGCACCTGGTAAATGAAAAGGAAGGGATTAGTACAAAATGTCTGGTGTATGTATTTGGGGCAAAAAGCAGGTGAAAAATATGCCATTTAGAAGAGTAAATAAAATCCCTATGTTCAACAACAGTGTGAGGTCAAAATTCCAGCTAGACAGAATCAAATTCCTTCAGTTCTTTCTGAATATGGCCAGGGAGTTTTGCCTTCCCCACATGGGACAAATTATTTAGATGAATATTCAGGCTGCGGTACTAACTGCAGAATACGGAAGTCATGAAAGAACGAAGCTTGAAGTTAAGACATCTTGCTGCCTTGGCTTCCTTTCCATCTGCAAACAGAGCAGCTGCTTTTGAGGAACTCTGGATCTGAAATGCCGCCAAGTGCTACTGAGGATGTTACGTGGAAGATTTCAGGAGAACAAAGCCCTTAAAAATATGTCAGGCCATGCCTACCACAAAAGGCACTTACAAAAGCTGGGGATGGGCTTGCACCGCACAACTGCAACTCGTCCTGAAACTTTCTCATTGCCCCTCGGCGGAAATTGGATGTTTCAAGTCCATTGTGCTGCTTTGAAAATCTCCGCCATAGTTCCCAATAGGTGGACTTGGTAGCAGGTGGCTGTTCTTGTCCGGTCTCCATCCCTGAAGAGGACAGTGCTTCATGCCATCAACTAGCACTCATGAACCATTTTCCTCTGGCACATTTACTCAACATCTCAAAGGCACTAGTGCTCAGAAGGGGCGCTAGTGCCCATACAGGTCAACAAGCATTGTGTCGTCCTGGCCCAGTTATGCGAGTTAATGTTGCACGCTTTGAATTGTCCCCTTACAGCACACGTGCAGTCTACCACAGTAAGCTTGCCAGAGGCCAGCTGGCCCTAGACAACCTTCTTTGGTAAGCTGGCATCCCACATGCTTGCCACACAGCTGGACCGTCACACTTGCAGCCGTTACGGCATGAGCACCAGTCAAATGAATGCCGGCAACCAAATCAACAACCTTTTGTATGCATCATTCAGTGAGCATAGATTATGTGAAGAGCTGAAATTTTGCCTCCTCCACAAGTGAGGTTAGCAAATGGCCAGGTGACCCCTGGAGTTTCTCATACAAATTCCCTGATTATTAGTAAGGCTCGTGGTTAGTTTACGGGTCTCTCTTCAGGAGGTGAAGAATGGCTCGTAAAAGGCAAAGAAGCTGGCTGAAATTATTGAACGTGGCATTTTCCCATAGAAAGTGCATATGGCTAGGGACACTGCTAATAACTCTATAATCGGAGACTGAGCTGAGCTGAAGTGGTGTCCCGACAGGGGGTAAGCGGTACGTGCCATGCTGCTGTGATGATCAAAACCAAATCCTGTTTGCTAATCATGTGATAAACCAAAGGATTTGACTCTGTCTGAAGTGGGATTGAGAGAGATTTGACCGGATCTCCCAACCTACTTGTTTGTTGATGGAAGAGCAAGCACTCCACAGACTGAGTTACAGCATGCATCCCCAAACCCTCGTTGCAGAAATAGCGTCTGCCTCAGGACCCAGGATTGAGTGAGCTACCGGGAATTTAGCTGTTCTGTGTCAGCCACTTTTTATTGCCACCCCATCCTCCCCATGCAAACCCTTTATGACTATCCCAGTGCAGGGGATTTTTCAATTTCCAGACTGCAGTCATCTCTCTCCCCTCAAATCAGAGCCTTTGTTGCAGCCCAGCGTAACAAGAAATTCTCAGCCTTAGCAATAATCCTTC